CCATGAGCCGCGCGCACGCACTGCGCGGCAGCGGCACCGTGCGGCAGCGGCACCATGAGCCGCGTGCACATACCCGGCAGCAGCAACAGAGCGCGGCCCACACGACAGCTCATAGGGGTGCGCCCACCCTTATCTGGACACGTCAAGCCAATTCGCCGCCAGCTTACCTTATCCCTATCTTATCCTTATCCCTTATCTTATCTTATCCCTCATTCTTGTCTTATTTTTATCTTCTTAAGTAAGAGTTGTATTACCATTAGGAGTAGGTAATTAGGAGTTTTAGTTTAAGTTGGATTACCCTAGCCTGGCTGAATCCAATAAGGAATTTCCCTCTGTAATCTCCTATTTAAGGAGCTACGAATTGAAGTAAAGCATTCAGTTTTCCAGTCAAGAAAAGAGTGAGGAGAGTTCGGGTGGTCTCTTGGACAAATCACCCATTAGGAGAGTTCGGATGGTCTCTTAGACAAATCACCCACTATATAGTCAAAATAGGGTTACGCTCGGGCCCATAACATTAGAAATGACAAATGATGCTAACTCAGACCCCTTTAAGCGAGGGCATCCCCTCTTTTCAATAATTTTCTTTTACGTCGCTACACATTTACACAACAAGGAAAGAATTATTAAGAAAAGAGAAGAGAGGGGTGGAATAGAAAGAGAGAGAGAAGGATAAAAATATAATATAAATAAAATAAGAGAGGGGACTTTTGGAGCAAAAAACCCAAATAATGGAAGGAGCCCCTGGCCTTTGCCCTTTCGACAGTCCTGGTAATAGTAGAGTAAGAGAGAGAAGGCACGGAGAATCCCAATGCGCAGCAGAGTGGAGTCTGTGAGCGGGGAGGTGACCGAATAAATTATTTTTCTAACATCTGTCCACAGTCCACATTCCACACACACACATCTACCTCCCTCTCTTTCTCTCTCTCTCTCTCTGGGTATGAGGTGAACCTCATGAAAGCTTATGATTGCTCATTTCTCAATCTCCATTTCTCCCATCCCGTCCCTACACCCGTCTCTCTGATCTCAAAGAGATGGAGGCTGTAATCTGAAAAAGGAAAGAAAGGGAGAGAAAGATTCAATCTTTTTCATTATTTTTAGAGTGAGTGGTTGGTACAGATCCGAGGAGAGTGAGGAGCGGGGATGAGAGAGAATCGAACGGAAATGTCGGAAGATGACGAGAGAGCAACGGATCTCGGCGGTGGTGGAGCTGTTGTTGTCGAGGCATCGTCCAATAAAACACGCAGCTTTGGCGGAAATGGTGGTGGCGGACTCGGAGTCGGAATCGGCGGCGTCGTCGATTATTGTCCGTCGCCGTACCCGGACCAAGTCCTCGAGAACGTACTGGAAAACGTGCTTCTCTTCCTTACATCACGCCGCGACCGCAACTCGGTGTCCCTTGTTTGCAAGTCTTGGTACAGGGCGGAGGCGCTGACTCGGACGGACCTCTTCATTGGGAACTGTTATGCTGTGTCCCCGCGCAGGGCAATCGAGAGGTTCCAAAGGGTGAGGTCCTTGGTGCTCAAGGGGAAGCCTCGCTTCGCTGATTTCAGCTTGGTCCCGCCCAATTGGGGTGCCCACTTCTTCCCCTGGGTCTCTGCCATGGCCGCTGCTTACCCTTGGTTGGAAAAGGTTCACCTGAAGCGGATGTCTGTCACTGATGACAATTTGACCCTCCTCGCTCACTCCTTCCCCGGGTTTAAGGAGCTTGTGCTCGTCTGTTGCGACGGCTTCAGCACCGCTGGCCTTGCCGCCGTTGCCAAGTGCAGGTATTTGGGCTTCATTTTCTTTTTCTTTTTTAAATCTAATTATCTAATTGCTGCTTGTTTGGCTATTTCACTGGTGTCGTAAAGTGGTTTGACATTGGATCTATTTCTCCTTTTCTTTTCCTAAACGGTATTTTGGGTTATGAGGTTCTACTTGATATTGTCTCCATCAGGATTAATAATGTAAAAGAGTTCACTTTCTAGGGTTTTGTTCGTTCTGCAGTTTATCTTTCACTTCATGATCATTGTTAAATGATTGGGTAATTCCGCAAGACATGAGTTTCTTGATTCTTCCAGTCCAAGATACTATTTTATGGTTATCAATCTTCTTGTTTTTTTGCTCTCTATTGATATATATAAAAAAAAAAACTATTTTGCTTACTGTTTATCAGATTCTGATCCCCTAATGCTATGATCAATCCCCGCCTTTGCATTTTAGCCTTGCTACTTCTGCTATATTATTAGATTTGCTTAAACGTAGAAGATCCCTGTATCTGTATACTCAATCACCTTATAACGCTCTACTAATGACTATGACTTCTCAGACAACTACGAGTGCTTGATCTAATTGATGATGAAGTTATTGAGGACGATGTGGACTGGATTTCCTGTTTTCCGGAGCCTGTTACCTGTCTTGAATCTCTCATCTTTGACTGCGTCGAATCCCCTGTGAACTTTGAAGCTTTGGAGCGATTGGTGGCTAGGTCTCCTTCGTTGAGGAGGCTTAAGCTGAATCGGCATGTCAACCTGGTGCAGCTCCAGCGTCTGATGGTTCGGGTTCCCCAGCTTACTCATCTTGGAACAGGTTCTTTCAGCACCTTGGATAACCCAGCACAAGTAGATCAGGAACCAGATCTCTCAGCTTTTGCTACATGCAAGTCCCTAGTTTGTCTCTCAGGATTTAGGGACATTGTGCCTGACTATCTATCGGCTATCTATCCAGTCTGTTCTAGACTAACCTCACTTAATTTCAGTTATGCCAACATCAATGCTGAACAACTCAAATCTGTCATCCGATACTGCCATAATCTCCAGACTTTATGGGTAAGTTATCTTTTGTGGTCTAGGCTGTGACTTCAGAACTTTCTTACCATATTCAAGTCCCACTTTGTCACTTACTACTAGTATTGCTACAGGTCCTTGATTCTGTATGTGATGAAGGGCTTCAGGCTGTTGCTGCAACATGCAAGGAACTCCGTGAGCTCCGCGTTTTCCCCATCGATGCTCGTGAGGATGGTGAAGCTGCTGTATCTGAGGTTGGCCTCCTTGCAATTTCTGAAGGTTGTAGCAAGTTGCGATCCATTCTGTATTTCTGCCAGCAGATGACTAATGCTGCTGTGGTGGCTATGTCAAGGAACTGTCCAGAACTCATGGTCTTTCGCCTCTGTATAATGGGGCGTCACCGGCCTGACCACCTGACTGGAGAACCTATGGATGAAGGATTTGGAGCCATAGTCATGAACTGCAAGAAGCTGACAAGGCTTGCTGTGTCTGGCCTACTCAGTGATAAGGCCTTCAGTTATATTGGGGAGTATGGTAAGTTGATTAGGACTCTGTCTGTTGCTTTTGCCGGAGACAGCGATATGGGGTTAACATATGTGCTCAAGGGTTGCCCCAAATTGCAAAAGCTAGAGATCAGGGACAGTCCATTCGGGAACTCGGCCTTGCTCTCTGGCTTGCACCACTACTACAACATGAGGTTTCTCTGGATGTCGACATGTAAATTAACCCTTGAAGGATGCAAGGAGGTTGCTCAAAGAATGCCCCACTTGGTGGTTGAAGTGATCGGGGACAGGGATGAATGTGACACTGGTGATGCCATTGATAAGTTATATATGTATCGATCTCTTGATGGGCCAAGGGCTGATGCACCACCATTTGTGATGATCTTGTAGTCATGCAGTCGAGTATGCTAGTGACAAGGATGTGTTATCTGTTCATATGACGGCCACTGAATGAGTTCACCTTTTCAACTTTGCAGGAATACAGTGGGTGCATTTTAAAACCCACAGGCAGGTTCTCTCATGCCTTGTCAACAAAGGTGACAATGCACTGCATCTTTCTTTCTCATGCCTCATGAAACTAAGATGACAAAACGTTGTATCTTTCTTTGCTTGGGCTGTTGGAGTGGCATTTGAAGTGGAATACCTGTAAAGCTTTTCATCTCATGTTCGCCTAGGTTTTGGAACGGTCCAGCGAAGGGAATGAAATTAGGCAGTGTTCGGTCAGATGGGCTAGCTCATCAGATGTTGTATTGTAGGTGATCGGATTTAATGTTTTCATTATTTATCATAAAAGAAAAAAAAAGTAGTTGCATGGTGGTCGGCGCAGTGGAGGATGCCTCATCCAAACGAAGCTGTAACTTATTTGGAGTTGAGGGCATAGAATTTGCAGCTTCCATCTTGTGCAAGATCAGTGTGCTTCCTTGACAAAGAAACGCAGACCGATCATGGGGGATTGGAGATTTTTTTTCTTTAAATATTTTTTTAATGAGCAGGGGGATTGGAGGTTTGGAAGGTGAAGGTGATAAATTATAAACCTATTTACTGGCCTAGCGTTGGAGAAAGTCATATCCTGGGAGATGATGCTATTTTTTTATTCTCTTTTTCAAGTGGTAGTTAATTTAAACTGTTCTTTATTTGATTGTTTTGGACATCTTAGCAAATTCCCTTAGATTACTGTAAGGCATTTCAGGAATGTTAATCTATCCCCAGTCTCCATGGAAGTTTTGTTTCTGAAATCCTTGGTTCTGAAGTGATTGCTTAATTTGTTCCCTGATATTTCAAGAGGCCACTGGCCATATAACCTGTTGGTGATTCAGAGTGGTTTGGATGTTTATGAATTATTACCATCCATGTGGCATGGTACCCACATGGGCAGGTTTCGATGCCGCGGAATTATACATTTGGCATCTGGCATTTGTATTGCTTTTGCAGGG